TCCCTTGAGCCGCCGAGGCTGGTGCTTCGCCAACATAGATTACATGAAGGCGATGATCTCCGAGATCTCCTCTGTGGTCGATGCCGATTGTGGAGCGCGCGCCGTCGTGGACTCGGTGGAAGCGGAGCTTCTGAACATGGATATTAGGTCATTCGGGGCTAAATCCCTACCCGATCCGGCCGAATTGCGTAGGTGTTCTCATCTACAGGGTCCCAAAGTTCTCCAGGTTTTTCTCTCTCTCTCCGCAGAAACGATTTTGAACCGTTTTTTTCTTGTCTCTGTGAAGATTTTTCGGTTTCGAGAGATCATTGGAATGAAAACTTCTTCGAATAGTGACGGATTGGGTTTTGGAAACTTAGATTCTGATTGGGGTCTCTGTGGTTGCCGAGAAAGTATGAGAGAAAACTGAATGATGCAGCGGGTTTCCTTCAATTTTTTATTCCTAACACCACACGATGATGCGAAAATTTCCTGGGCTTAGTCCGTAGAAGATGTTGGGTATTTGCTCCAGTCTGTAGAACTGTTGTCTGAGCTTGTTGGATTTGGGCTAATTTCATGACCTAATACGTCTCAATCGATTCATGATGTTGTACACTGTTTTAGCTGGAGACTATTATGGTTGTATTTTGTTCAATTTAGGTTAAGACACTTTTTTTTTTCATTATAAGCACAGATAAGTTCGGTTAGGGATATCACCAGAAGTAGCGAGGACCTTATGGGAAGTTCAAGCGCAAAGCGTTTACTAAGATTGACTCTGACAGATGGGCATACTGAGATTTCTGCCCTTGAGTTCTCTCACGTACCGGCGATCCCCGACGATGTAGCTCCTGGTACTAAGGTATCATAGCTCAATTTTAACCTTCTCTCTGTCCATATTTATATATTTCTTATGTTAAGAAAGTTTACATCCGGAAAAATACCTAACTCGAAAGAAAATAATTAAAGCTTAACTGATGGATCAAGTTTGTGTTTTGCGAGTATGATCATGTAGATGCTATTTCTGGGATAGGTGCTATTGAGGACTGGGAAATAAACTCTTGGTTTTGTCGTGAACACCTTAATCATTTGTGGTGAAATGCTTGTAGTCATGAAGAATCATTTTTTCTCTTGTTTTACTGTTGGCAGTTGCATCTAGATAATAAGGCTGTAGTACGTAATGGTCTAGTATGTTTGACGCCAAAAGAGGTGAAGGTTTTGGGTGGAGTTGTAAAGTCACTCTATGAGGAATGGCAGATGAAGAGAAAATACTTTGGCATGTCCCGCAAATCAGGAAGGAAATCTCAGGAGAACGGAGCTGGTAGCTGTCCTCCTCCGTTTGAGGAGTTGAAGATTCAGACAGGTTCTCATCACCTTGGTAAGGACGGTTTTCTAACCTGTTTTCTTTTGTTCTATTTAATTCTATGTACTTTTGAATATGCATGTTACGTTTGACCACCATCCAATTTTCTTGGTGTAAGCAAATATAATTTTGACCTTATTGTGATTTTGCTTCCCCGTGGTGCACAAATTATTTGTTAAATAAATCCAAGTAAGCGTTGGTTGCAGGAGCCGGGTCCCTTGGTTTGAACTTCCGATTCCAATGTGCTGTTGTTGGATTTAGACTTTCATGTTTTATTGAGATGCGTCTTCCATCGTTTGATAGAACTAATGGGCATGAAACCTCAATTCTCAAAGGTTTTTACTATACCTACAAAGTAAAATAGAGTAACTATGGTTTTGCTATATGGTTAGCTTAGTTAACTATGGTTGATTAGTCTCTTTGTTATATTAGATGTGAAGAGTGGGAATTCTGGCTTTTGCTGGCTAGTTTAGGGAAAAGGTTTATCTAAGGGGGAGTTGGAGGAGCTCCATTCTCAAATCCTTAATCTATGTTTCACCGTTATTATCAGTAATACTAATACATATATACTTTCTGGGGTTTTGACATCCGTTCATAACATCTTTTTCCTGGGTTTGTTACCCGATCTTAGTATCTGTCAATTTCATTTTTTGAATAGCTAAATTGACTCTATTCATTGAGCAGCAAAATGGAAAAATATATTGACCTGATTTCCTGTTGTAGTGTTGTGTCGGCTTAGATCAAATTATTGTCTCTTTCCATGCATTGAAAATGATATAAGATTGGAAAATGCATAAAAAAAGACAACAATACCTATTCTTTGGATGTTCTGATGATTGACAGATAACAAGAAGCCTATATCCAGGAGCACACCCACAGTTGCAGAAAGTGCGGAGAAACGTACTAATCTGGAAAGAGCTGAGACTAGTGAAGCTAATATGGTCAGAAAAGGGGCAAACAACAATTTGCTAAGGGATGCTGTAGAGATTAATTCCCAAGCTTCTCTCCAGGGGAAAACTCAAGAAAAGCCAAGCAGTTCCGAGACAAGACCTAAGCAAGGTTTGGCTTCAACTGTTTTTCCTCACTCACTTACTATGTTGTTAGTAATCGATTGCACTCCTTGTGTAGATTACCATCTTTAAGACATTTTCCATTTTTGTCTGGAAACTGTTGTATAACTATGAAACTTCCAGATATGATGTAATTCTCACAACCTTAAGAAAAAAACAAAAAGGGTTTACTTCAGTGGTCGTTTTAAGATAGTAAGGGAGATGACCATTATTCTTTGTTTTTGTGTGTTTATAACATCTCCCATGTTGCAGTGGTTGAAGCTGTTCCGATACAGAACCAAGCAGCTGCGCAGATACTTCTCCAGAAAATGAAACATCCAAATTCAAATGAGAGACAATACAGAGGAGGAAGAAGGGGCAGAGGAAGAGGGAGACATGAACAAGAATCCAGGGTTTTGACTCTTGATGAATGGGAAAAAAGAAATACCAGCGCAGTTCCTCCACAGACTGGCCAGCCGAATGACACGTGTCATGATGAAGATCTTGCATGGCAGCTTCAAAACCAATTCGATTTGGAAGATTCTCATGTGAGTAACTCCTTTCTTCTTGTCTATTCTCTTCTCCAATGATTTCCCATCTGGAGGAGGGTGAATTCAGACACTGAACTGAACTCCGTATACTCTTAATTTGGAATAAGGTCCATGGTCTAGTAGTTCAGATTATCGATGATTCGTTCACCTCACAAAGGTCATACAATGAAACGACTTTTGTGGGGATTTGTGTGTTTTTTGAGTTAATAAGATACTTTTACCCCCACCGTTATCACCTATCAGCTCATCTCTGCAAAGAACTCGAATTTTCTTGTAGTTTCCAAAATCGATTGAACGGTAATCATTGCAGAGAAACACTGATTTTTGTACTGTTTTGTTACTCAGCAGGAGTCGTATGGAACTGGGACAGAGGATATAAGGGTGAGCATGTTCAACTATGGAAGAAGACCTGATGATAACTTTGGCCGTGGAAGGGGACGAGGAAGGAGGCGGGGGAGAGGACGCTTTTAGTCGACCCAACAGGTGTTGCCACACATCCCGAGCCTCACTTTATACTGATAGTCTGTCGATGAAATCTTACACCTCGGGTGCAAAATGGGGTTTTTGGTTTTGTAGTATACAATTCTTGCAGGCACTCGGATATAAGTCCCCTCTTTTGGTAATGATTTGCGCGGAAGGCGCCACCCAAGAACAAAGGACGATATTGAGAGAGAGATGACGAGAGGACGACATGGAAAAGAGATATTATGGAAAGATCCTCTCGAGCCAATTCCCGGCCTAAGCTTCTCATCAATGTATGTGATCCAAAGGCTTTTCTGAACTCAAGTTCCCTGACCTGTGCCGTGACACAAGCCAAAGATTTTGGTTTTGGTTTTTGTGCCTTCCGTATCTTGATTCCGTGAATGATCCCCGCTATATTTCATTATTCAGTTCACACGGTGTAAGGAAGGACTTGTAGCTTAGGTTTAGGCTTGGCTTGTAACTTGCAAGATTGATGTTCATTTTGAAGAAATGCATTATGCATGCATAGAATGATAACTATGTTTGCTAAAATTCGACCTTGTTAAATTTGATTCTGTAATAATTTGTTATTACGTGGTATAATACCAGCAGTTTACTCCCCCTAATTATGGGCTTTTTAATATGACTGAGCGAGTCATATTGGCCCAATACAAAATAAAATACTCTAAGATAAATACATAAAATTTGTAATTTTTAAAAATTATACGAACTTTGAAAAAACACGTAAGGTAGTCTAGTATATTTTTTTCTCCAAGACCCCCATTAGATGGGGATGGAGATACGAACTGACTTGGTCTTTTTATACGAACTTTGAAAAACCGCTATAATCTCTTTAACGATTTTAGTAAAAATTATATGGACTTTGTAAAACCGTTATATTCTAATGGCCATTTCTGTTTGTTTCTGTAAAACCGATTTTAATCATTTGTAATTGTATCCAAAATAAAAATGGTATGAGTTTGATTTTTTTAAATCGAACAAATAAATCCCAAAATAAATATAATAATAACTGAAATCTGAAAACTTTTCTTCTAAAAAATGAGTATTTTTATAAAAATCGATCACCAACCAAACCAGATCTAATATAAAAACCGAATTAATATCGGTTTTCTAAAATTGAAAAACCAAAACCCGTAACGAAACACAAGCCATCTTTGTTTTAACATTATACATTTTTGGAATCAACCCCAGATGCGAGCCTTCTTGTTTCTGCAACATCTGCATGCAATGAAGAGAATGGAGAGTCCTGGAAGTGTTGAAGAAAATATACATTTGGATATGAAGCTAACGGACATGCATGCATTTTGGACACGTAACCAACAATTTCATGAAACGTTGAATGTCTATTTTCCTATATTGCAACACGTAATCGGTCAATTAGGGAGCTTGATTCTTGTGGTCGTTGCACATCTCCACCATACAAATTGACTCCTTATTTTCTTCTATTTATTTCCATTTTATGTATATAAAATCTTAGTTTCCATTTATTTGTACGATAATTCCTTTCTTGTTTTGTCTAGGATTTCTATTTATTTTGTAAACTTTCTCATGCATGAATATACCAAATATCTCTTCCATTTTGATCATCTTCTTCCTCTTCTCCATGACTATGATCTAACCCAAATTTACCAATCTTTATTCTCTTTTTCTCCATTCTTAATTCTTCTATACTATCCAATCACTAAATTCCACATGGTATCAGAGCAAGATCCATGGTGATCACTATTCTCTTTTCCGCTGTATAATTTTTCAAAAAAAAAAAACTTTATCCCTTTTGTAATAAACACCAAAGAGGAGAGAAACATGACATACGGATTGGCGTATGAAGATTTCAAGGTCATAGCAACCTTTGAGTACATCCGAAAATTCAAGTTGCTCCAAAATGCATGGAGTAACATGCTGGAAGAACAAAGAGACAAGGCGTTCAAGGGTGTTTGGGATAGAATCAAGGAGCTTCATCCCGATCTAAGCATCGAAACGTGTAAACTCTATACCTTTCTTGGATTTTTGGATGGTATACACAACAAACTAATCTTGCAGGTTATAAAAGCCAAAGGGAAAATATCCCTCATGGAAGCAAAAATGATGTGGTGCGAAGAACGCACTCAAAACATCATAAACGAGGAACAACACGAGTGGTTGTCGAAAGAAGAGATGACCGATCAAACCGTCAGAGAATTCTTCATTGAATACATGACGCCTATTCATCCACAACGTGAGGGGGAATGTGAGGAGATCACTCCCACGTGTGTGGATGATGAGAGGTTAAATGAACAACTTAATGAAGAGGGTGAAGAAAAAATGACACAAATCGAAGAAGTCGAACACACGGAAAAAGTAGGACCGGATTGCTCAAAAGAAGAAGAAGAAGGGAATCAAATGGAGTTCGTAAAGGATGATGACCTACAAATGGAGGCAAAGAACCCCGAAAATGAGGCATCACCTATGGAGAACAACCTTGTCCCATTCGTTCTTCCCAAGGCAAATCCGATCATGCATTTCCAATGCATCGGCAATAGAGTTTGTCATTCATTCTTCTCTCCACTTCACTTTGAGTTTGTTATTCCTAATTATATGTTTGGTGTTTTAAGTGTCATTGGGCAGAAAATAAAAGACACGCTCATGATGAGATGTTGGAGTACAAAGCAAACAAACTCAATGGAAGTCCATATACAGAGGCAAAAGCCGAAGTGTGAAAAAATATCCGAAGAAAAAGTAACATTACCTATAAGTTTATACAACTATAAGTTTGGTAAAAACACTCTCAAACTTTATGTTTTTGATCCCGGAGAACATATTCATATCTTGCATATTGAACAAAACATATTAGTTCGAAACACTCTTGCTCATGAAAGTGGTATAAACGATATGTTTCTAACGTTTAATGAAAATTTGAATATCATGCTTAGTTTAGAATATAAATCAAACATGAATCTAATCATAAAAATAATGTTTCACGTTCAAAAATATTAAACTTAGCATTTATGCACATTAGAACACTATTTTTACTCTTGTTCGATGAAAGACATATTGTTGCATGTTTGCATTCGGTTTGTCATTTTGAACGGAGTGCTACGGCCTCCTTTGTGTTGTCTAACCATTCTCTTGAGTATATACAGAAAATCAAATATAAAAGAACAAATGAAATGGTGGATAAGCCAAAGGAACCGCCATGGGATGCCATCACACTTAAGGGGGAACCAACACAAGCATATAGATGTATGATCGGCAAGATCGGCTTTTCACATTCCTCCAAGCCAATCTTGAGGGGGAATGTTGAAGAAAATATACATTTGGATATGAAGCTAACGGACATGCATGCATCTTGGACACGTAACCAATAATTTCATGAAACGTTGAATGTCTATTTTCCTATATTGCAACACGTAATCGGTCAATTAGGGAGCTTGATTCTTGTGGTCGTTGCACATCTCCACCATACAAATTGACTCCTTATTTTCTTCTATTTATTTCCATTTCATGTATATAAAATCTTAGTTTCCATTTATTTGTACGATAATTCCTTTCTTGTTTTGTCTAGGATTTCTATTTATTTTGTAAACTTTCTCATGCATGAATATACCAAATATCTCTTCCATTTTGATCATCTTCTTCCCCTTCTCCATGACTATGATCTAACCCAAATTTACCAATCTTTATTCTCTTTTTCTCCATTCTTAATTCTTCTATACTATCCAATCACTAAATTCCACAGGAAGGATGTGTTAAGGCGGTATTCATGGACACCTGCTAAAGACAAACAAGGATCCTTTGGAACCAATTCCCAAGCTTCTGGTCGACATAAGTAATCCGAAGCTTTACTTGGCTTTCGAATGCGTATCTGAATTCAAGAGCTCCTACTTTAAGCTCTGGCGGCTCGAATATCACCTGAACCCACTCGCTGTCCAATACTTTCAGCTTCCTTGCCAAAACACCAATGAGATTGGTTTCGGTATCCGATGATCGATCGAGAACATTGTTGCGATGCCATCTCACCTTTCAATGATACCTCTCGGTCGAGAGATTATTAAGCCGTGAACACAACTCTGTTCCTGACGAGATCCGGAGCTTCAATGGCTTGAATCATCTCTTTGATCGTGAAAAAGAGGCGTCCCAGTGCACTTCTGTATCCGCCTCCCAGAGATGTAGGTCTCGAGCAGTACACCACATCCCACTCTACATATCACAATCCAATCCAGCCATTATCGATTTCGATCTAAAACCCTCGAAACCAATCTTCTTCTTCCCTTTGAAAATGAGAGGATATTTCACAGGCTCGTCGACACAGTACTTCTGATGCTCCTTAGCCACTTGTGTGATTGTGTTGTTCTTTCCTCAACGTCACACCTCCGTCGTTGTTCGCAATCTGTTTCACATTAAACACTCTCTTTTCGTCAGATCTCTTCCCCAACTAAACATCATTCATTCAGAGATTTTGTCTACAATATTCTTTTTTTTAGAAACAAAAGTATTGGTTGTACCGTTTCTTTTTTTCCCCCTGTAAAACCCTTTATATATACTCAGACGTACAAAAGTTCCGCTGTACAACAACCAGTACATCAGTCCAAAATAAGAACAATAATCCCAGATAAGAAAATGTAACCCTATCAAAGCTCAAAAGTGCTTGAATCAGGTCGTAAGTAAAGAATCATCATCGTTCGTAAAACGCCATAAGTGTCGGATGCTCGATAATTGTCGTCGAGTTGAACAACGTATGTCCCTTACCACAATAGAAGGTGGATGAGATTGGCTCTCATGCATCCGTATGCTCTTTTCCCTCCAAAGGATATATGTCGTGGCTCGAAACACCAAGAAAAGGATAAGTTTAAGAGCTTTATTATCATGAGTACTACCTGCAACCCAAACGAGTGAATCACCGAAAGAACTAACCTGCCGCCGGTTAAAACGAGAGGTTTCAAGGAGCTTAGCTCATATGTGCATTGTATAATCACAGTAACAGAAGAGGTGATCTATGGATTCATTATCCACGCCAAAAAGTAAGCATATGTGGCGAGTTGGGGAATCATGCAGCCAAGCGGTCACGAGTGGGGAGTCTATTTCGAGTAGCCAGCCAGAAAGTGAAGGCATGCTTTGGAATGGAATAGGTAAACCACACAATGGGAGCCTAGGTGACACGACTAAGCATGGAATGGAAAATTTCTAGGCTTTAGACGTGGAGAAGGACCCCAACGACGAGTCCAAAGGATCTGATGATCAAAAATACCTATCACCCGATGTCGAGGAGGTCGTCTGATGACCAATTGATCGTCCAAATTTAGGTGAATGGATTTGAGTCAAGTAATAAAATCTAGACTAAGCCAATTCCGCAAGCGTACAGATTCGATGTAGTATCAGGGTCGAACACAGGGAATAGTGGCACAACTAGACTAAATTCTACTAAGGCTTGATTAAAGAAGATTGTAATGAGATGGTGAATGTGAGAGAAAATATCTATATATGCTAATACTGCGGGTTTCAGGTTTGCCCTTGTATGCATGAATAGTTTCTAAAGATAAAGATTTTACAATAACCGTGTTTAATTCGGAAAACTCAAGCACCTAAACTAGGATGCGTTCGGGTCAGGGATCATTACCCTCTAACTAGCATTGTCCTATCAGCTTCCGCATCTCTAGGTCCATACTAGAAGCATTAACGCTCGCTATCATTGTTTCTGAGTCGAATTAATTAAGAATCTCTTATCAAGTCCTTCCGATGCTTAGAATTAATAATTGAACGGCCTATCTTATGAATGAATTCTGTTTTACCTAATCCAAATCCGTTTGCAATTAACTAAACCAAGTTCAATTCATACAGGTGATCAATCTGATGAAAACATTAAGATCAATTCATAAAACCGGATAAACAACGATATCATAATCTCTTATTGAAGAACCAAACAAATTCAATACATAGATAAATCCTTAACCCAAAACAAGAAAACTACTCAATAGACATGGAGAGACACGAGCTCAAGACAAGAAAGAAAAACATCATGAAACAAGATAGAGAAAGAAAGCTTAGTCAATTTCTCGAGCGCCACCATCTTCTCTGTCTCCTCAATGATCCTTCTTGCTATCTCTCGGTGAAGAAATGAAGAGAACAATGCATAAATTATGGAGAAAGTGGTAGAAATTAAACGTCGACCTCGGGCCTAGGGGAGGCCTCTTCTAGCATCTGGGTTAGCCTGGGAAAGCACGTATAATTCGTTCTCTCGTGATTGACTGCACAAATCGTGAAAATGCCCGAGTTTCGCTGCTGAAACATATCATGTGATGCCATAAACAAGTGACTCGACTTTGTTCCCCATGTGGGTTCTGTCTGATTCTGGTGAAATGTTTGGCAATTGATTTCCATTGGGTTAGTTCTGAGATTTCTTTCTGTCTTGTACTTTCTGCAATGCCACAGGCAGGGTTGGTATGAAGAGAAGAAACCAAGGAAGAAGAGTTCAGTGTTCAGTGGAAGTGGTGCAGCCTCCTCCGGCATGGCCAGGGAGAGCAGCTCCGGAACCGGTGAGCGTGTCTTGGGACGGACCAAAGCCTATCTCAATTGTCGGATCAACACTGAAGCTTCTCCGTCGCCCACAAAAACCTCCCTCAACCTCCACACAACCATTTTCGGACAGAACAGAGGAGAGAGGAGAAAGAGAGAGAAAGGGAGAGAAAAGAGGAGAAAGAGAGAGAAAAGAGCTCGGGGAGACCAAGAGGGACGTGCTCAGATATGTATTAGAGCTTCTCACATCAAGTGGAGCCTCATGGAGCTCACCAAAACTCGGACAAAACTCACCAAAGTCAAGAACAAGGTGAGTGACTTGAGTTACTTCTGTGTACTCTCATTTCATCTTGTGACTGTGATATCTCAATGTTCTTTACTAAGAATTGAAAGAGGATATTTCAATCAGGATTTAGAAACAAACGGTACTCAATTTGGTTAAGAAACGAGGAAGATATGAGCGAATGAAAACTGTTGAAAAACTGAAATCGCAGAACAACGAATTTTATGGGGTACAAGAGTTACGAATCGTTTTTCATCGTGTAGACGTCGGTTTTCAATAATCTATTTCTTAGATATGAAAGAGGACATCCCAATGAACATTTAGAAATAAACGGTGGGTGATTTGGTTAAGAAATGAGTGAGTTATGAGCAATCGAAGTCGGACCAAAAACCTAAAAACGCTAACGAACAATCTGCCGAGTGCCGGTCTGTCGGACCAGACACTGGTCAGCTCTGGACCAAGCATGAGAAGGTTTTAGTCCGCCAGACCAAGGAGAAGAAGCTAGGGATGTTGGTTTTCCTGGGATCTCTAGAGCGAATCTAATTCCTAAGAGATCAGTTCTAGGATTTGCGCAGGGGATGAAAAACAAAAATTTTGATGAAACCCTAAAACCTATCATGCATGATATTGTAGAAACGTTAGAACGCTTACCTCAATCGATCCGGGGCCTGTTTCAATTGATGTGTTCGTCCGATCACTATAGGCAGGAAGAATACCTTGCCCTCTACACGTATCCACACCTCGGGAAGGATTCCAACCTTTGGAACTTGTCTGCTAGGACTCGAATCTTCTATTCGATGATGTGCTTTTAGAAAACGAGATTTTGATCACTTATTCAACCCTCTAGACTCTCCAAAAAGGTCTGAAGAAGTTCTATTTTTCGGCTCATCGGTGTTAGGGTTATTTTTCTCCTCTTATTCAAGTGATTAACCCTAGATCCGGACTTTAAAATTAAATCCGAACCCCAGACCGAACGGACTGCTTAGTAGTCCGTTCGGTCTGGACACTTGGTCCGTTCGAACCAGTCACATAACTTGGTTCGTTCGGTCCGACGGTTCAGTCCGTTCGGTCCAACACTTGGTCCGTTCGGACTGAACTCTCTAGT